AGAGAGAGAGGGAGAAGAAGAGAGAGAGAGAGAGAGAGAGAGAGAGAGACTTCCTGAAGACATACACTTTTGGCTTTCCCAAGCCATGTCCTTGGCATTGAGAATTTCATACACATTCCCATTCCTTTTGCCATTCACACTACACAGCCTTAACAAGCACATTGAGTGTTCCTGTCCCCCACCCGCCCCACCCCGGCTGTCCCTTGGAAACAGGAGACATCTCAAGCAGAGGTGTTGGGGGCTGGAGGGGTTGTGAGAAGGGAGGAAGTATGGCACACAGTTGGGGGCTGAATTTCTGCCTACCTGTGGGACCCTGGCAGTAAGTCCCTTTGCCTCTGCAAAGAAGCAGGCTGGCTGCCTTGGGTGTTCAGTTTCTTTCTGGCTCTAACTGTCTCACAGCAGCCCAGGCTGAGCCCCACCCAGAAGCAACCCGTCCAGAGGAGGTCAGTGGGTCAGATGGTCTAGCACTCTTGCTGACTGGTCAGCTGGCAAGCAACTAATTCCTCCATCCTCCCTGACGGGATAAATGGGTGCTCCCTGATGCTCCTCCAGCCTCCACTCCCCAAGCCTGCTGGAGGCTGCCCAGCAGCTGAGATAATGTGGGCATAATTGGGGAACTTGCATCACATAAAGCCAAGAACTGGAAAAGCCAGTTGGGAGGGCTTGGACCACAACTTGAGAGTTGGGGAAAGGGGCATGGGTATCAGGAAGCATCTTGGTGCTAGGTATGGTGGCCCTGGAGGGACACACGACCCACTGAGCCCTCCTACCCCATCTCCTCTCATCCCTTCTGCAGTTGCGGGGCAGGCAGGGGGTTGGCCCTGATACAGAGGCTGATATTCCTATGATGCTTCCCAAGCAGTGACCTCATCCTTCAGGTTAAGTCGGTGCCAGGAGGGGAGGTGGTTGCTGATGTCCCAAGTAAGTTGGGGAGGTTTCTATGCCAAAGCAGGTGTGTGTGTGTGTGTGTGTATGAGTGTGTCCTCCCTACCTACCTAAGTCTATGCTGGTGGAGGCCATTTTTCTCTCCACTGAGCTCTCCCTGAAGCAGCTTCATGGTGGTGTGGAGAGTGGCATTCCTGGTATCCCCTCATTGTACACAAAGGCATTCCTGAACCTTTCTGGCTGGGTGGGGGCATGGAGGACCTCTCAGTAGAGGGCATGCTCATATTTACTTATAGCTGGCTGTTAGCAGAGCCTAGGAGGTAGTCCCTGGGTGGCATGTGGGGCTGGAGTGTTGAGGGTAAAGACTCTAGTCTTCTGGAGTTGAGAGGAGATGAAAGATTAGCAAAATTAGGCCCTGTCTCAACACTCCAGCCTGAGGGACTTGGTTCCCAAGCCTCTATGGTGGCTCCCTGGCCTGGACTAAGCATGTCAAATCAGGTCTAAGTATCTAGCTCTTAGACTGGGTGGCTTTCCAAAGGGAATAGGGCTCATCCTTGAACATGGAGGGGCTGGGTGGAAAGCCTGAGAAAAGGAACAGGACTGATGGGTGCCTGCAGGGGCACGTAGCAGGAAGGGAGGTCTTAGAGTATACATACTGAGTTTTCTCTGTGCCCGCTCCAGCTTCACAGTTGGGAAAATGACATGGGTGGCTCCCAAGCTCTGCATGGCCTTTCTGGCACCCTCATTTGAGGTGAACAATGGGGTTGGGAAGAGTCTGCAATATGAGTTGGCATCCTGTCTCTGTGCCTGCCAGTGGGCCAATGATTTAACCTTTCTGTGACTCAGTTTACACTGAGGGTACACATCTGCAAAATGGGAATTCTAATAGTTAATGCCTGCCCTATAAAACTGCTATTAGGATGAAATGAAGGAGTGCATGGGAAACTCAGAAAGCAGCATTAGCACAAAATATATAATCAATCATGTTGACTGTCATCATCATCGTTGTCGTCAACATCATCACGACCGTCATCAAACAACGTCATCTGTGAAGCAGCAAGCATCCCTTTCTGGGACTTAGTTCACCAAATGTTTACTAATCATCTACATGGCACTAGACTCTACACGGGTGCTATAGGCCCCCCTCTTCTAGGATACTAAGATGGTTCTCATTTCTGACTCACTGGTGAACACTTCTACTAGGACCCCAATGGCAAATAACCACACAACTGTACCCATTACTATTTCCTGCACTTGTGCGGCATCTGTATCCTGTCACTCAATGGATATCTGGCTACCATGGGAAAAGCAGGGACATGCTTGCCCTTGGGCTGTGTCAACCACATTGTGCTTGTCATGGTTGGCCCAAAGGTTTGGGGAATCCGCTGACTCTCTGGTTACCCAAGTAAT